TGTGAAAATATACATTCTAAATTAAAAGTTAGAACTATTAAATCTATAAAGACTTTAAATGAGTACAAGGGGGTAATGTGGTCGGTCAAATTGATCGAGCCCATGTTGAGAGAGATAAACAATGAAAAAAATATTATCTGTTCTTCTCTTCTGACCCCTTCTGCAATCTCATTGGTTTTAACCCTTAAATTTCTGACTTATTAAAAAACTAGATTAAATTGCTCTTTATTCAAATAATTTTCTACAGTGGGATTAACTGCAGAGTTTATGGAATTTTTGATCGAACTTTTGTACATGACTCATGTTATTAAGGACCCTGAACCAACTGTTATAGACCCACAAGCAGTAAATACTCGTGTGTAGTGCACATTTTACTTCCAAAAATTTTGGTCTCAAATATGAAGTTAGCACTATACAAGAAAACAGTATTCTTCCAATATTTTTCAAGTGAATTTTTAGCTCGAATGTTGTCTCAACAAATCTTATATTCTGATGTAATCAGATCACTGGAAGATAAAAAAAGAATAAGCAAGTCTGAACTCTTGAGATTTATCTTTTAATCTTTAAGCCACAGATATATAATGGATTCATTTTGTCAACCATAAGAATTGTAGGGTTTATATGCTAGTACTTGCTAATAATTATCAGTCAAAATATAATTGGGCAAAACAGTTTAAATTTTTTGCGAACTTTTGTGCTGGATCTTTGAATGATTTTACTATCCTATGCTGCAATATTCATAGTAACATTCAATCATAGTCACTCTCCTATGTCTTATGTATAGGACAGTGTTTAAAAACACACACAAATTACAGGTGATCATAAGTTCAGCCTTTGTTTGTTCATTAAGTAATATGGTTAATTAGTTGACAGTGGTATTCACTCACACATGCATGTACAAGTAATAATCAACACAACAGTACACCACTCATTACACAAATGTGTATTAGCTGTTAGAATTCTTCTGCACACTATGCATGTTGATTTTTCCTAGTATATGGGGCCAGAAAATGTACTGTGCAATATATGTGAGTATTTATGGTAGACAGGAGAAATGTTTAAAAACCTGATGGGGGCCCATATAAACCTGTTTGCCAGTTCTATGGTTAAACTATGTTATCACCTCCTGATTGATTTGAAGAGTCACAGCAAACTAACCACTTGACCATGCACATCCTTGTGACTCTTCAAATCACTTTGAAGCTGTGGGTGCATTATAAGAGTGACAACTGAATCCCACTATTTGGTCAGACAAAAGTAACCCAAAAGTTAGTGGCGGGTGTTCTGTTTACTTGTTGCCTTTTCTCTAGTCTATCCGTCAAAATTAGGTACAGCTGGTGCAGATATCCCTTGTGTAGCTTTGCATGAAAAAAGAACACCAAGAAATACAACTTTCATAGTTCTAGGCAAATATAATTTTTCCTCATCGTGCTTCATGTTTTAGGTTTATATGTCAAATAATCAAATTTTTTTGTTGATAATGCAGAACAAAGGGAAAATGTAGAGGTGAGCCATTACAAAATGAGTATTTCTTTGCTCAAAGAATTTTTGAATACTCGACAGATTTATTTTTTTCTCACAGCCATTCTGACACTAGACAATTTAAAATTAAATGGCCATACCATAAGTAGCATCTATTCCAATATCATAATTAATATACATATCATACATTTATATCACATTAAAAAATGTTTTACAGATACCCTCATAATCTCCATTTCAACATACGTACTGTTTCTTGCAACTAAGTTTCAGTATTTATACAGTAGAACATATAAGTTGTATAAAAATTTGATAAAAACTTTCATTCCAATACAATATGTTACCTCTACTCACGTAAATAGCTATTCTCGTTCAGTGCTGCCCTATATATCCAACAAATGTTTTTGCATGCCACAAGCCTTGAGCTTCCATATACCGTACAATCAACTGATTCAAATGTGTCTTACATGTAAATCATCATGCAAAAAACCTCCACCAATAATAGTGTGACAAACTTTCTTGAAACATGTGACTCCCTCTATTTGGTTCAACCCAATTTATTACTTCTTATTTACCTTTCAAGACGTTTTTAGTTGTGCTCATCAAATTTATTCAATTTCATAATTCTTTTTTTTTGTTACTATTCTGAAATGAATTTTTTGTTTTTCAACAGTAAACAACTTTTCATATAACTTATTTTTCCAGTTTTCCTGTTTTTTTTCATCAAACAATTGTGTTTGATTTATATTTTTACACAATGAATTTTCAATTTCAAGTTATCATTTCATTTCTACTAGCACACTCACACAGGCTACAGGTGGAGGGGACTCTTTTTTTGGGGGGGATTTATCAGCTATCATCATTATATCATTCAACCTGTTTCTCCTGATCTTGCTTCTATTCCTCCTGAACATGTCAAACCTCTTCGGGTCAACAAGAGTTTTGACAGCCTTTTTCCTCCACCTGATTTTACCTCATTTTCCTATGCCCCTTACTGCAGATTCAGATAGGCCTAATACAACTTTTTTAGATATGATTTCTCAGGTATGTTTCATTTTATCCATTTCTCTGAATTTGTATGATCTCCATCCTTTTTTGTTACATGATAGATCCTCCTCTCAGTATTTGGTTTTCTCCCCTTCTCTGGATATTAGGATTCATGCTGTGCATTTTTTTTCTCAGATGGTTGAGGGTGCTAGCATGCCTCGACCTCCACGAGCTTTGGCTCAGATTGCC